ACTTTGCTTTCCATAGTTCAAGAGGGATCCAGGCCACACGTCTTCTACTCATCTTCATTTAGTAAGCATCTGGATTTTGGTCCCCTGCTAGGATGTTGGGGCATCCTTGTATGTTCTGTGGTTTGGTGATCATTTCTTTGTGGCATCGGCATTTCTCAGGTTCTATAGTTACAATCACTGGAATCCCCTTCTCCCCAGCTTCTCTATACAAACCATTTTCCTCCCCTGAGTCTACTTCCTTTGAAGCCACAGACCCATGAGGTCTCCAGTTAAAGTGTCAAAATCAGAGACAGGCTCTAGCCACAGAATTTATTAGTCAGTATAAGCTAGCCTGTCCTTTATGAGCTGGTCACGTGAAATCACGTGTGTTACATGGAAGGCTTCACGCCTGCTCTTCCTTTTCTCCTCCATCACCACGATAGCTTTACAGAGTGATACACACCAAGGGCGCGACCAAAAGTAAGTGGAGTGTGTAACCACCACACAGAGCTTCCAGTGGCGTGTGAACTTGAAGCTGGTGCCTTTGAGGGGGACTCCTCCGTAGAACCCTGGAACTTGGTGCTGCTGAGCATGGCCTAGCTCGGTGAGCCCAAGGCGCTGCACCCCTCAGTTGGATGCTACGTCGTCCTCAGGCCTCAGCAGACTTACTGCATTGTCCCAAGTTCCTACACAGCTACAGAGATTTGTAAGCACAGTTAAAAGTCCCAGTCATCATCCATAAGCATGATATCTATGTGTTTGATGTAGGGGTGAAGAAGACAAAGAATCTGAGTTCCTCTGTTTGGGGGAGCTTTGTGGATCGGTTCTAGGCAATAACTGTCCATGTTCCTGACTAACTAACTTCAAATGCATGAGAGGGGGCTCATGCCTTCCTTCCTCCAAGGGATCACCAAAGATGTCTACTAGACATGGTAAAGATCCTGCAGAATGAGGGACAGTGTTCCAAGAGCCAAGTCTTGGTCCTTTAAAATGCAAAGGGGCTCTGTGGAAGCCACAGGGGGTGGCAATGGCAAGCCCCCTCCAGTGATCTGAGGGATGAAGAATGCAACCTCTTACTTACTCCTTGCTGGGGAGGGAGGCGGGAGGCTGGAATGGCTCCCGACTCTTAGGAAGGATGTTTAAAAGAGCCTCATCAGAGTTAGAAACTGTCCCAGCTCTCTGGAAACACACAAAGCTGCTATGTGTGGTTGTCTACACCAGGCCAGCCGCCCCTGCTCTGTGTCTCCATGCTGTTGTTGTCCTATGGATCATAGTATACACTATGCTTCTATAGCCACCCCAAGCCTGTCCATGAGATTGGTTTAATAAGCTTCAGGCTTTTCAATAGCTAAAATAGCAGACTGAATGCCAGAAAGAGACTTCTTGTACACAAATGTGTGAGCTAATTATTTTGAAGAAGACAACTCAAAAAAAAAATGCAGTGGGCATTAGACTGCTCACCAAATTTAAATGTAAAATAATATATTTTTTTATTAAAAAAAAAAAAACCCTATGCTCTTCTGTTGGGCCAGGCAGCAAAGGCTCATGGGTAGCGGTCTTCCAAGCTGTCAGGGGCAGACATATGCAGTGCTGGCTCTGTTGCCACCCTGATGGTTCCTCCTCACCAGAAATTCCCCAGGTCAGCATTTCCCGAGGTCACGTCCCACAGGAGGGGGCTTAATGTCACAGTGTGTGACCAGTAGCTGATAAGGAAATATTGGCATAGACTCTCATGGAATAAAACAAGACCAGCATATCTACCATGGCAGTCTGTTTGTGCACATGTTAATCACTTGTCCGTGCAAACATCTCAAATGCTTGGCTGAAAATGAAACTCAGCCTGGTGGTTGTTATTTCCAGGGGAGGGTGGGGCCTGGCTATTCATCTTTCAAAGGATTTTATGAATAAAGAGCTTCCAAATATTAGTTCCAATGAGATGGTTAGTTTTTTTTTGTTTTTTGTTTTTTTTCCCCAGCCACACTTCACGAGCAGTGCTTTTCTGGGTGTAGTTGACAAACTCACAGTTCTCTGGTTCTTCCATATGTATCTTTCCAGTTCAGGCACCATAGATCCCTCTAGAACCATCCTCACCTGGCTGTTATATAGTTATAGTTATATCTACGTAGTCTGGCTGTCATTCTTGAACTCATTGTCTTGGAGAATGGTGAGCTTTATAAGAATTCTTATGGTGGAAATTTCCTTTTGTTGGCTTTGGCACACTTTTTTTTGTGTGTGAGTGGGCTGGGACCTTGTCAGGATTCTGGCTTCATTCTGTAAGTGCAGGGTAAGCCTCAAGTGTGTCTTTCGTTGGTGAGCCATGGAACACACTTTGAGAAGCAAGGATCTAGGGCACAATTAGTGACACCACCAATTTCATTTGGTACATAGGCCTTTGTCTGTCTGTCTGCCTCTGAACTAGGTGGGACACCTCACTTACTGACTTTCTTCCTAGAGTAATTTCTGTCATAAAACTCTGGCTAAGCAGCTTTTGAAAAATAAATATCATTACATCTTATTTATCTTGAGGTGAGGGGTAGTGGTGTGCACATGGCCCCACAGTGTAGCTGGGTTGGTTGTCTTCTACAGCGTAGATACTGGGGATCCCAAGTCAGATTACAAGGCTGGGAAGCAAGTACCTTTGCCTACTGAGCCATTTCACTGAATTCTGCCTTGTGTCCCACTTTTAATTTTCATCTTAGAAAGAAAACTGCAACAGGTTGAGAATCCATTTTCAGAATGTTTCCAGAGATGTAAGGCAAAATTTAGCTATAATTGGTTTCAGCTACAGATTTCATTCCCACATGTTGTCCCAGCCTCCAGAAAAGCTGAAGGTCCCAGAATGCAAAAGTGCCCTCCCCCCAGAGGAGAGTGAGCAATAGTGGGGTTTTAAAAAAGAAAACTGTCTAACTCTCCAAAGTCCAGGAGGGTAGAATTTCACAGACCACACCAGTTGAGATGCCTGCAGCCAAACAGACTGATTGAATTAAAGGCATTTCTATGTTGGGTTTCACGATGTTCTCTTTGGGATACGAACACAGAAAAGGGCTCACACTCTGAAACATAGTGGGGTTCTTTGAAAGCTGATCCACCAGATTGCCAGTTTTAAGTGAGCTTAAATTATTTACTTAAAGAGAGACCCAAAATAATTGCACCACTCCGTCCTCCAAGTGAGAATTCCACAGCCATCCCCTGTTGTCTGGCAGAAGCAAGCCCACTGGAGTTTGGCACTGTGGCTTTCAGGTGGTCTAGAGTGGCACTTGACATTGAACAAGACCCACCAACCAAGGACTTTTGTTTTCAAGTTCATTTGTTCTGAGAGAGGGTCTTACCCTGGAACCTAGACTGATCTTGAACTTACAGCAATCCCCCTGCCTCACCTTCCCCCCAAAAGTGCCAGGATTGTAGACATGAGCCATCATCACACCCAGGTCTAGTTTGTTCTGCGGTAGCATGTCATGTAGTCCAGGCTGGCCTCAAATATTTATGTTACTGAAGATGACTCTGAGCTAGCTGCTTCTCTTGCCTCTACTTCCCAAGTGCTGGACTCATGGGCCTGAGCCGCCACACCTAGACCACAACTTTGAAATGGTTCAGTAATACTGCAGGTGGAAATAGCTTTCTTATATACACAGTTAACAAGAGCAGGAAAAGCCATGCTTCTGGGATATATTTCTGAAAGAAAACTGAGATGACTTAAAAGCTTGATAATTTGTGACAGAACCTTCACTGAGAATGAGGAACTGCAGTTATTAAATCTGCAAATGCAGTGTGTAATAAAGGCCATGGCACAAGTATCATCATTGTATATAAACACTTACAAATAACACAAGTAACAAGTAACATTGTATATAAACACTTACAAATAACACAAGTAACAAATAACACAAGTAACATTGTGTATAAACACTTACAAATAACACAAGTAACAAATAACACAAGTAACATTATGTATAAACACAAATAACACAAGTAACATTGTGTATAAACACTTACAAATAACACAAGTAACAAATAACACAAGTAACATTATGTATAAACACAAATAACACAAGTAACATTGTGTATAAACACTTACAAATAACAAAAGTAACATTGTGCATAAACATTTACAAATAACACAAGTAACATTGTGTATAAACATTTACAAATAACACAAGTAACATTGTGCATAAACACTTACAAATAACACAAGTAACATTGTGTATAAACACAAATAACACAAGTAACAAATAACACAACATTGTGTATAAACACAAATAACACAAGTAACATTGTGTATAAACACTTACAAAACAAGTAACATTGTGTATAAACACTTACAAATAACACAAGTAACATCGTATATAAATACTTACAAATAATTGGCATGTTATTTATGCTCAGGGTCATTGTTAATATGTTGTAGGATGATCATTTTGGTCCGGAATTTGTTTCATCAATTCATCTTAGAGAGATATTAAATTCTCTTAAAAAAAAAAAAAACAAGAAAGAGGGGCCCTTGCCTAGAAAAACAACTAAGCCAATTAAGACTGACAATATAAATGGGTTAGATTATCAAGGGGAAGTCAGGGGTGGGGGAGTCTAGGGAAGCAGTTCACTGTCACTGGAGGATAAGAAAGCAGCTCTCATTTCCAAGAAGAGGGCAGAAAACAGAAGCACGAATGTCACTGGGTGGATTTGGGGTGAACCCAGGCAAGAAGCAATGGATTTGTGCCAGCCATGGGCTGTGAGTAATTAATGAATTATGCCAGTTGTGGGCTCTGAGTTCTGAAGACGATCAAAGTGTAGACTCTGATCGATCCTGTGATTCGTCAGACTGTGGAAGAGAAAGGAACCTGTCATCTCCATTTCTCGTTGTAGGAAAAGGCTTTAGGAGTGTGGGCAGCAGGGGCCTGGGAGATGTCTCAGCTGGTAAAGTGTTTGCTATGCAAGCATGGTGACCTGATTGATCCCGGTTTCCATGTAGAGATCTGTACCTGGTAACATGTGCCTTTTCAGTTTAGCTAAATCAGTGAGCCCCAGATGAGCCCCAATGCCCCAATGACAAAAGCTGATTCCAAAAAATGAGGTGAATGTCATTTGAGGACAATTCCAAGGTTGTTTCTCTAGTCTCTACATGTGTGTGCTCTCGAACATATATGTACATGTGTAGCATGTGTAACATGTGTAACATGTACATATATGAACATGTGTAAAACACACACACACACACACACACACACACACACACACACACACACACAAAGCAAAGTCTAGAGAGTCTACCAATGATAGTTTTCAGCTAAACGGAAGTGAGAATTTTAGATCAATAAAATATACATCTCTATAAAATATGCAAAGTGCAGTTTGTAGGTAAAACCTACATTGAATTTTTATCACATTCGAATTTTTATTCAGTATTATTCTAAGAAGCAAATCTGTTATAAAAAATAGCTATTTTTGTTTTGTTTTAGTCTGTGTATCTCTATTTTACAGATTTACCTTATGAGCCTCCCAGGAGAACAACCTGGACCGGCCATGGCCACCCCACCCCCCAGTCCAAAGGTACAGGCTCAGCCCCCACTGCCCTGAGCTGCATGTCACAAGGCAGGGGTGACTATATCAGGATAAACTATGATTTCAGTGGTTGAACATGCAGAGGGGCTCTTCCACTGGCTACAAAACACATGGGGTCTTTAAGCGTGACTCTGTGCTTGAGATGTAGCCTACTCTCATAACAAAGAGGAGTGAATGGAACAGTGATTCTCACTGTGGACGGTGTGGTTTCCAGGGATGTTTGCACACTGCTTCACTTCTTCCTGGTGCTTTCCCCGTATCTGTTTATTTTATGCCATAGTTAATTTCAATCTCCTTTGTAAACCAGCTTGAGTTTCTTTTTCATTATGTTTAGAAGAAATGGCTACAGTCGATTGTTTAAATCGTGGAAAACATTTTAGAGTGTTTATATTTAATCTCATTAGAGGGGGCAATTTCTTCTGACCACACATGCTTCTTGTAGAATAAGATTACTATGCTGGCAATTAATTGATTATGAAGTAAAAACCATTGAAGATGTGCAGTCCGATCTGAGTTGTGGCTAATTGTCTCTCTCTTTTTTAACCTTGTCTTTTTCAGCTGCTCAGCCATCTCCTTCCACAGTGCCCAAGACGGAAGACCAGCGCCCTCAGTTAGGTGTGTTCCAGAAACTGTCTTGGGAACCCTAAAATGGTTACAGGCTCTGCTGGAAGTCTCCATTAGACTGTATCCCCTTTAAAATGAACTCCATAACTATCATGTGTGTAAAATGGGGTCTAGACCATTAGTTTCTCACTGGGAAGAATTTTAATAAAATCCTGAGTTTTTTTTTTTTTCTAAATTATCTCTAAAGCCTGTAAACTTTGAATGTGAGCAAACAGTTCTCATTGCTGGAGGCTATGCCCTTGGGATCTGTTGCTTTGACTTTTCCTGGTGTGTCTCGCAGTGCCTATGTCTGTTAGTTCCAAGGTAGAAATTGGTGGAATGCTGACCTTGAACCTCCTGACCCTTGTGGCCCCAGGTCTAGCATTGCCCCACTTAGATCCTGGCATAATGTGGGCTATGGGTTGGTGGTGGCAATCTGGGACCTCAAGTTTTTCTATAACTATGATGCTTCCAGCAAGAAACTCCCCTGAAATCTGGTGTGACATCTTACCTCATGTATGAGGTAGAGGTGGGAATTTGGGGGGTAGGGAGCATTCTCACCTCTGCAATCACAGTTCTGTTGGCCTGGAGTTCCATTATACCAAGCCTCTGCCATGTCTGACTTATTTCCTTCTGTTATAGATCCGTACCAGATTCTGGGACCCACCAGTAGCCGCCTCGCTAATCCAGGTGAGTTGCCACTTGTGATCTGCTCTATGGTTACTTTGGAATTGGGGACAATTGCTGAAAGAGAACTTGTACTGGTGAGAAACCTCCAATTAAGAAACTTGGTTTATATGTCTCATGTCACCAAACTTTTTATTTGACTTTATTTTTAAAAAATGGATCAGGTTATAAATTAAGATTTTAGTTTCAGCAAGGAGTTTTATAACTTAATTGAATTCATAATGTTTCTCTAGGGTTGTTGCAACAAAGTAACAAAGCCTGTGTTTGGCTTAATAGTATCAGTGCATTGGCATAGCTCTGGAGGCTAGAAATCTTTTGCTGGTGGCTGGTGCCGTCTGGGTTGTGAGGAAAGGATGCTCTCCGGGCCTTTCATCCTGGCTTCTGGATGGTATCGTCTTCCTGTGTTTCTTTTTATTGCATTTCCTCTCTACGCTTTCATGTCCATACCTGACTGTATGTGTGTATGTCTGTGTGTGTTCATGTGGGTGTGCTTGTACAAGTATGTAGAAACTAGAGGATAATCTTGGGTATTAGGGAATCAATCCATAGACAATATCACACCATCTATCTTTTTGTTTGTTAAGACAGGCCCTCTCACTGGTCTGGGATTCTACAGGTAGACTAGGCCAGCTGTCCAGTGAGCCCCAGGGATCTACCTGCATCTGCCTCATCCCTTGCCACAGTGCTTGGCATCTTAAAATCTAGCTTCTGAAAATCAGACTTGGAGATTTCCTCAGTGTGGGGCTTTTCCTTTTTTAAAAACAGACACCAGTCATCTGGAGTAAGGGCCTCATCAGTGGACTCAGTTTGCTTGATAACCTCTGTAAAATCCTTGTCTATTAAGACAGGTCACTTTCAGAGTGACTGAAATTCAGATTTTAATATATGAATTTTAGGGGACATAATTCAACCCGTCACCAACCAGATCCAATAACTGTTATTTTAAAAAGATAATCTTACAGCCATCAGACTCCAATTGTGGTCACCTGTGAGGATGTATTTCTGAACTCAAGTGTAGGGAAAAACAGACCCCTCATGACACCTGGCTGAGAACCATCACCTGTCCTCACATTTTGGTGCCAACGAGCTTGTTCTGTTTGTTTGTATTCAGATCAGAACCAGCTGTGCTGGCGCAAACTCCAGGGTTCTATGGCATCTGCTTCATATTCGCAGCTGTAAATTCGATGCCAAGATGTCACAGCCACACTGCAAGTGCAGGCTGGAATTTCTGTTTCACAAACCTTAAGCCAAACAGGGGTTGGAAAACACACACACACACACACACACACACACACACACACACACACATGCAGATGCCATCATTGCACACGTCCCCACGGGAAAATCCACACTCTGAGAATGTGGGATACCATCATCATTGAACAAGGGAGTCTGCCATGAAATTGTGATTAGTGTTGATTAATTCAGTAAATATGTTCTAAGCAAAGCTCTGCAAAGAGAGGAGGCTGTTTTCTTCATTGCTAAAGCCCAGTGCACAAACCAGGTGCTCAGAACCTTGTTTATCAGTTCATCCCTGGGGTGACAAGATACAGTTGGCCCCAGTGAGCTGTCACCTAGTGAAGAGATGGGCACAGTAGATACAATATGCTCTCTAGCCTATGGACGCACAGCCCGTTGTCTATTTTGAGAGCAATCAATTAGTGCCCAGGACTTCCAAGCAGCCCCTCCTTGTCCTCCTTTCAGCCTTCCACGAGTAACTGTCTCCTAGTGATTCTCATGACCATAGTGGCTGTGAGGTTGGGAAGACCATTGGGTGGGCAAAGTGGTTATTGTGCAGTGGTGAGAGCTGAGTTTGAATCCCAGCACCATAAAAACGCCAGATAGTTAAGAAGCACGTGCTTCTAGTCCTCCTATTACAAGAGGGGAAGGCTAGATGTGAGAACCCCCAGGCGCTCACAGGGACAGCTTGGTATACACAGCTGTGAACCACAGACACCTCAGATGAGGTGGAAGGCAGGACAGACAACCCAAGGGTATTCTCTCACTTCCACACGCGCATCTGGGCATGTGCACCTGCAACTCACTCACACTAATGCATGTGGGCGTATACACACAGAGAGTGTGTTCAACGGCGTTTGGAGGTGGTGATGGCTCGGCTCCAGAAAGGCTGGTCTGGCAGCACTGTTAGGACAGACTAGAAGGAAGACATGCCTGGAGGCCCAGGCCCTGTGAACACCAGCACATGCCGTGAGGCAGCAACTTGGAAGCTCCCGCTCCACGTGGTGCCCACCTCGCCCTCACAGGGAATATTTACACCCTGGTTCCCCTCCAGGGTTTGTATGGCTCACAGCATTGTTACCGCCATCCTGTCGGAGAGGAGTCAGAGGCCTGAGATATCTAAGAGCTTTCCCTGGGTCACAACCAACAGGAAGGAGGCTCAGTCTGCACCATGAAGGTCTCTAAAGTCTGAGTGTGTTTTCTTTCTCAACATTTCTGGAAGACGAGGGAGAGGGAAGCTTTGAAAACCATGGGCTGTGGGTAAGAAAGGAAACACTTGGATTTAGTTGTGCAGCTGTTAAGGTTGGGAGGATGAGCCTGAGGAAGAGGAGGAGGTGGAAGAAAGGGGAGGAAGACAGGGCATGAGAGCAAGAAGAGGAAGAGGAGGAGGAGGAGGAGAGTGGCAAGCTGCATTAGGCAAGACCACACCAGCCTTTCTGCTCATGCCCACTGCCTAAATGAAATGCCCATCATGTCCTCGTCGTCCCACAAAGGGGCCACTCAGCTCGTTTAGAAAATGGAGCAAAAGGGAGTGACTTATACCTGAGCTAAGTGCCCCCTTCTCCTTCTGTGAGCTGCAGATTTCGATGCTTTCTCTAGACAAGGATACCAAGTTGGAGCCAGGAGATGGAAACACACTCTAGGCCTACGAGCACCATCCAGAGGCATCATAGGTCCATGGCCCTGGTGTGCCGAGTCAACTGCCACATTTCCTATGCTGAGACCACTCCTGCTGGACCTGCACAATGGCCCTAAGATACCATTGGTTTACCAGGAAGGAGTCTTCCCTTCATACTCTTCATACTTCCCGCAGGCTCTGAGCCAGTTGACTGATTTGGCCTTTGACACCAGAATGTCCCTGTCTTGTGTTTAGTAAAAATGCTTCTTGTCTGACTATCTCTTTCTCTTCTCTGATAAATTGATCCTTCATCATGAAAAAATTGGTGACTTCTAGAGACAAGGAAAGCTGCGTCAGGAAAGCTGCGTCAGGAGAGTCACAAGTTGAAGGCCAGTCTGAGCAACTTAGTGAGACACTATCTCAAAATAAAATGTTAAAGAAGGCTGGGGCTGTGTGTCTGGACATGTAGCTCAGATGTAGAACACTTACCTATTATCTGGGCAGCCTCAGGCTCAATACTCAATACTGCTTCCTGACCCAAATTTAATTTTAAAATATTAAAGATGATGCCTATGTACTTAGATAATTTTTTGGAATTTTAAGTCTTCTCATTAAACCCTCAAAACTAATGTGGTGTTGGAAAAAGAAATCCAATAATCTGGCAGAAATGAAACACCACCTAACATATTTATAGGAAATAACAAACCCCTTTATATGTCTATCTTAAATGCATATGATCGTAAAGCATCTAAAAGGATGTTGATTAATGGACTGAATTAAGAAACCAGAACCAACTCTATGCTGTCTCCAAGAAACACACTTACCTAGTAAAGATGCCTCAGAACTTAATATCCAAGGATGGAAAATAATTAGAAAATGTCAAGCACATAGAAAATGTAAAAAAGCAGGCAGTTGTAGCTCTTCTTACCCCAGACAAAGTAAACTTCAAACTAAAACTAATTAGAAGGAAAAAAAGGGGACACTACTTGTTAATAAATCGATGAGCAGTTCATCAAATTAAACTTTTGTACACCAATCATGGAAGTCTCTAATTTCACAAAACATGCACTAAAAACACACATGACCTGACACAATAGCAGAGGAGAACGAAAATACCCTCTTCTTTTTTATTTTTCCTTCAAGAAAGGGTTCTCTGTGTAACAGTCCTGGCTGTCCTGGAACTCGCTCTGTAGACCCAGCTGGCCTTGAACTCACAGAGATCTGCCATCCTCTGCCTCCTGAGTGCTGGGATTAAAGGCGTGTGTCACCACCTGGCTTTTAATAGTCTATTCTTAAATTTAGATAGTTCTCCCAAAGTAAAATAAAGACACTTCAGCACTTCAGAACTATGTTAAACTGAAATATATATATATATATATATATATATATATATATATATATATACACATACATACATGTGTGTATGTAAATATAATATTCTATATAACAGGAAGGGAGCACAAAGTTTTTCTGAGCAGCCCATGGAACCTTCTTCAAAACCTTTTTGTCCATTTTTAATGGAAAGATTTTGCCATGCAATATGATATTTTGAAGTGTAAAGATGTGTGGCATGTGAGTTTATGGGCACCATAAATGCATGAAGACACCCTCAGAAGCCAGAAGAGGGTGTTGGGTCTCCTGGAACTGGAGTTACAGGTGACTCTGAGCTGCCCTAACACGGATGCTGGGGAAGCCAATTCTGCCAATTCCTTCAACTGCTGAGTCATCTCTCAAAGTCTTGTCATGCATATAAATGCACAGGTGATATCAGTGTGTGGACATCCGATGTTCCCATTCCAAATGTGCATTTGATGTGTTCTTGGAAGGCTATTCATCCTGCTGAGAAAGGTGTGTCCTGGCATCCCCACCTCATGAATCAGTGATGAGCCACCAACGTCTTTACGTTCCATCAGAACTGCCAAGCACCGAATTCCTATGATGGAGTCCAAGTTCCTTTCCATGGAAGAACTTTTCTTGAGTTCTGTCCAGGCATTCTAAATGAAGATGCAAACAGCTCCTTGAAAAGGGACAGAGCCATTTCAGAAAAGTTTTGTCAATTGTTAGGAAGTGGGAACCTGTTACATTCAGGTGAGGCCCGAGGGTGAACAGCCTAGGGAGGACCAGGAGGCTATGGAGGCCTCTGTAGACCCCTGGCTAGAAAGTCCTGATCTATGTAGGACAAAGAGTAGCCAGAAATTTGTCCTCAGGTGATGTTGGGCATCAAGGTCAGTCTACCTGTGTGTACCCTGTTTTCTCAGCTCTCCTGTGGGTTAAACATGATTTTGCAGGGATTAAACACACTGTCACTTATGAGCCTATAGTAGAGCCTAGTCCCATGGAACTTCAGAATGAAGTCGTAACCTGAGAACACCAGTCCATGCTCCTCCTGCCTGGTCAGTGCAGTGAGAAGGATGCTGGAATTACAGACAGGCGACTGTCCCTGGCTGGTATTTACATGGGTCCTGGGCATCTGAACTCCAGTCTGCATAGTTTCATGGCAATTGATTCAGCACTGAGCCGTCCCCCCAGCCACAACCTTGTCCTTATGGGTTTGCCCAGTGAGCCACTCAAGTCATGTTTGGGTTTCCCTGAACTCTCATTACTCTTCTTAACATAGCCCTTCTCTATGTTCTGAGGTGCACCTCAGCGAACTGTGACTGTTACGCTCCAGACAGTAATAGCAACTCAATAAATTGCTTCAGAATCGTTGGCAAGCAGTAGCTCATTTAATTTACTGGGTGATGATTTCTCAGTGCCCCCCCTCTGCCCCGGGGCATCCTTGAGAGTTCTTGCTCAGTGAGAACAGGCGTGGCCTAAATGTTTTAAGGGTTGATGGCCTGCTGCCGCTTGTAGAGTTGCCTAAGCATTTGTTGACTTTTACAGCCAGTTTCCCTTTCGGGTTGGGAGGCCGATGGATTTTGCTTCTTGGGCTCTTTTTGGGGAGGCTTGACAGGGTTGTCCTCAGCCCTGAGCCCTGTGTCTTTCTAGCTAAAGTGAACAGCCTAGGGCGACATGAGCTCATCCATCCTCTGAGCTTCCAGCCATGCATTTAGTGCTTGCTTGCGTGTTCTCTGGCTCTTCTCAAGCAAGGGAGACAGACTATTTTCCTATTTTCTCCACTGCTTCCCTCCTACACATGCTCATAAGGGAAGTGGGTGAGGGACAAAAATTCCCCAAGACGATGCCAATGTTTGAACAGATACCAAGTGTTATTTGGTCTGTGTATTTGTAGGAAATCTGCAGAGTGGCTCTCTCACTATGGAGGAAGTTGACACCAAATATTTATTTTCCAGCAACTGTCCATGTTTAGAGTGAGGCATATGTTAGACTGTTAAACCCAAAACCCACAGCTTCTCCTATTCCCAGGTCATCCGTGGAATTCTTTTTTCAAGTTTTAATCCGTTGGTTACAATATATAGACTAAAACCATATGGTTCTCTCGTTCCATCTTTTATATTTTTAATGCATATTAATGAGATGTTGGAGGCAGCCGCTCCTTGATTGAGAACAGTTTGTATGTGTGGCTCTGAAACAGCACAGGCTTCCATTCCGACAAGCTACAAGCTGTTAATACATTTCAAATGTGTCGCTTGACTGAAAACAACCCTTTCCGGAATATAGCCAGAAGAAGCTGACCTTTCTCACGATGCTGTTGCATGGGTGAATCCACAGACCCTCTTTTCCAGGGAGCCTACATGGAGACAGGGATTGGACAGCATGTGGAGGACCGATCTCTGAGAGAAAGCAAATTCATAATTGAATTTTACAGTCCACCAATTCCTTGAATGGATGATGGTCCAAGTTACTCTAATCATCGGCCACATCTATTCATATTACTTATCAAATCATAAAAGATAATATTTCTGGGAATGAGCCCAAGACAGTGTGATGCCCTGGAGGCTGGGAAGAAATGTCTGCCTCTCACTCACTTTTAAACCAAAAATTCTGTGCTAGTTAACTTTGTTTCTCCTAGTACCAAACATAACTTTCACTAAACAGCCATGAGGCATGAACAGTAGACAGAACCAGAGTATCCTATAGTATCCCTCTGTCAGTCTGGCCTGGAATGTCTGGGTGTGGCTATGCTCTTATCCAGAAAGGGTTGCCCCCTGGAGGAGTGGGCAGCCAAGGAACAAAACAGCCCGGAATGGAGGGAGGCAGGAGGGCAGGCCTTCTTCAGGACATGCTGGCCCTTTTACACAGCCAGAGTCCCTGGAGCAATGTGACATGGTGGTTAGAATGGTATGCTTAGATTTCTCTCTGGCTGAAAAGAGGTGATGGCCAGGGAGAGGGTTCAGCCAGCCAAGTGTTTGCATCGCAAACACCAGGAACCGAACTGAGTTTGAGCTCCAGAACTTGTGGAAAAGGAAAGGAAAAGGGAGGGGAGGGGAGGGGAGGTAAGAGGAGAGGAGAGGAGAGGAAGAGGAGAGGAAAAGAAAGGAAGGAAAGGAGGGGAAGGGGAAGGAAAGGGAAGAAAAGGAAACCAAACCCCCAAACCTCATGTGTTTATGAACAATGATAACCCAGTGGTGTGGGTGCAGGCAGGTTGGTCTTTGGTCAAGCAGCCTAGGCTAATAGGTAAACTCCAAGCTAACAATAGGGTGTCTTAAAAACCCAGGACACCATCACTGAAGGTTTTTTTCTTGCCTCTTCATACCCATATATAAGCACATGTATCCACACCTACACACATGAACAAACACAGATGTATTACACATGCATGAACAAGAACACACATGTGTACACACAGACACATATATCCACACCCACAGACACCATACATACAAGCACACAGGTGTACACATGTGCGTGTGTGTGTGTGTGTGTGTGTGTGTGTGTGTGTGTGCACGCGTGCCCACACTCGCTCTTGAGTGGGCAGGCACACACACACACACACACACACACACACACACACACACAATGAGCTCTTTGAGCCAGGCTCTCTTTGCTTTCCAAGAGTGTTACTGTAGCCTGTTGTCTTTCAGAAGGACTGTGGCACACAGTCCAGTGCACACGGCACTTGGATTTCTGTTGCAGTGCATTTGGTCCAGGACTGGAAATGGGTTATATGGTTTGAAGCAGAGCCAGCTCTTTATCTGAACTTCCTCATTTTGATCAGGCTAATTCTGTGCTAGCGACAGTTCCAACAGAATTGGTCTCTGAGCACCAGCCAGATGTTAGGTTAGAAATAACGGTGTTTACTTCCATTCTCTGTTTGATTTTCCACGGACTTGTAGATGCTCACTGCCTAAACCTGACTTTTGTTGTTTCACTTGACCCTGCCAGTATAAATGGCATTAGACCATTTTGCCATCTGCAGCCTTTTCTGCTTCACAAAGTGGGAAAAAGTAGCTCATTCATTCTCCTGAAGCCAGTATGACCGGGTTGTTGTTTGAAAGATGACCCAAATGGGAGGAACCTACCATGTTGTGTGGAAAACTTGGATCTATGAGGCCCCTGAGAATAGGGATCAGGGACCTCCCTTACATACATGGACATGTTTCATAGACATAGAGACAGATAAGGACATGCAAGGGATGGTTCCTAAGGATTTGTTTGCAGGAGCAAAGCTGAGGAGGCGTCCAGCTTCCTTGAAGCTGAGCCCTCATGTGCCAGCATGGTCCCTGAGGAGTGACACGTCAGGAGCAGCAGAGTTGGGATGTCCTGTAGCTCCCCTTCACCAGTGTGGTCTGGAATACCTGGGTGTAGATCAGCTCCAGCCAAGGTTTGCTCTCTGGGGAAGTGAGCAGCCAAGAGACAAAAACAGCAATAGCCCCGGAGCAGAGAGAGAGAGAGAGAGAGAGAGAGAGAGAGAGAGAGAGAGAGAGAGAGAGAGAGGCTGTGTTCTGGGCAAGGGTTGGGACGGACATGGTCCAGGAAGTCTGTTGTTGAGGAGAGACCCTCTTGTGCTTGGTTCTAACTGGCTTTGTGTCCCTTCCCATCATTAGGTAGTGGCCAGATCCAGCTGTGGCAGTTCCTCCTGGAGCTCCTGTCGGACAGCTCAAACTCCAACTGCATCACCTGGGAAGGCACCAATGGGGAATTCAAGATGACGGACCCTGATGAGGTGGCGCGGCGCTGGGGCGAGCGTAAGAGCAAGCCCAACATGAACTATGACAAACTCAGCCGCGCCCTCCGTTACTACTATGACAAAAACATCATGACCAAAGTGCACGGGAAGCGTTACGCCTACAAGTTCGACTTCCACGGAATCGCGCAGGCCCTCCAGCCCCACCCTCCTGAGTCCTCTCTGTACAAGTACCCCTCTGACCTCCCGTACATGGGCTCCTATCATGCCCACCCCCAGAAGATGAACTTTGTGGCTCCCCACCCTCCAGCTCTCCCAGTCACGTCATCTAGTTTCTTTGCTGCCCCAAACCCATACTGGAATTCACCGACCGGGGGCATTTACCCGAACACTAGGCTTCCCGCCAGCCATATGCCCTCTCACCTGGGCACTTATTACTAGAGACCAGATGGAGGCCTTTCCCAACAGGGTACCATCACCTAGCAGTCACCACAAACTCAGAGAACACGAATGGGAAGTGCCTCATGAGGAATGGAAAAGTTTGACCAGAGCTGGGGAAGGAAGCCGGAGAGCCAAAGACTTCCAGGGGAGGGTGGGCGTCACTCAAGTGTTACTACAGAAATAGAGGAAGCTCAACATATAATGTACATGGACATATACCTGTGGTCCACCCTTATCAGAGACTTGTGTGTAGGAAAGCATGACCTGATAAGGACAACTGCCAAAGAAAGTGGCCTTAAGTAGTAGTGTACTAACTGTAGCGTGCGGGAACCTTGCTTGTACCAACCAGGGTTCAGTGAAAGCAATAGAGAAAACAGTAATACCGTCTTGGCCTAACATACCATTTAGAATGTCGTTTTAAAGGGAAACTACCTGTGTCTAAAAATAGAAACATATCAAAACCAAATGAGAAGACAAGAAAGATGGCGACGGCCCCTCCACAAACGACATTGTGGATTTTCTTGGCTGGCATTTGCTGTCTTGGTTAAAGTCAGAGTCTTGCCATTTGATGGAGATCCACCAGCTCTGTCAAACTGTGAAGATGACGTAAAGTCTCGTCTCCTTTTCAGTATTACAGGAACTGTGAGCCACACGGTGGGGGGTGGATGTGCACAGCGTGTGAGTGAGTGGTTAGAGAAAAAAGGCTGGGGGAGGAGGAGGGAGAGGAGGGGGAGGGAGGGGGGGGAAACGGAGAAGGGGGAGGGAGGGGAAGGAGAAGGGGAGAGAGGCCGAGGGGAGACAGGAAGGGAAAGGGAAGAGGAGCAGAAACGGGGAGGGGGAGAGGCAGGGGGGGGGGGGGGGCCCCCCCCCCCCACCCACCCCCCCCCCCCCTTCTTCCCCCTCCCGTTTTTTTACTTTCTTTCGGAGGGAGGGAGGAGGAGGAAGAAGAAGAGGATGAAGAAGAGGAAATGACTAGAAGGCAGTTGCTCAACAAGCTAAACTTAGGACATCTTGGGACCAAAGAGCGTGAGCTGCGTGATGTTTGATGCTGTCAGTGTTGTAAGAAAAGACACAGTTTTATAGAGGACTGGGAGCAGTAGTATTCAGAACCAAAAATATGTCTCTGTGAAAAGAAAATCATAACTGGAACTGTCTAATATTTTAAAAAGTTCAAGACCTCTGCGTTTGGTGGAGGCTTTGTCCTTCCTGGGAGCAGTTGAGAGGTGACCTTCGTGGCCGCCATGTTCAGAGACCAAGCAGGCATTGTGGGTAGGTGGGCTCCAGTTTTTCTTAATGAGTCGCGAACGCTGTGCGTTTGTCAGAACGAAGTCTACAAGTCAATGGGTTTTTTCTTTTTATATAATAATTATATAACTTATGCATTTATACACTACGAGTTGACCTCGGCCAGCCAAAGACACACCACACACACACACACAAAGGAGACAATCAATGATATGATGTGGCCTTGAATTTTAACTCTGTAATGCTTAATGTTTACAATATGAAGTTACTAGTTCTTAGATGCAGAATGTATGTAATAAAATGAGCTTGGCCTCTCATGGCGAGCCAGAATGCCATTGGTCTCAGTTTGCACTTTTTTGCTGATGAATGGCCACCAGCAGAAACTTGAGCTGAATCTTAGAGTTTGTGTCGCAGACTTACTTTGTCCAAGAACTTAAGCAGAGGGGAATAACACAGATACACACACAAGCAGCATGGACCTCTTGACTCCGGAGAGCCCACCCTTTCTCATTATATCCAGTCCTGCAACAGAGAGAGCAAAGGGTTCATCTTGGGGCCTCTGTGATTTTCCCTTCAGCCAGTTTGGCGGAGGTGGTCACCCACATTGTCATCCTGATCATACAATTTTTGTTGAGTGATGAACAAGCCATTGTGAATCCATTGTTTGTCATCATCATTGGTAATTCAGTCATGGACAGCTGCAGTTTCTTGTTACAAAGTATTTAGGGAGGGCCAAGCAGATGGTTCCGTGGCTAAAACGCTTGCCTTGTAAACATGAGGACCTGAGATTGATCATTAGAAACTGTGTAAAAAGTCAGGTATGGTAGCCGACCCTTAGAATCCCAGCTTTGACAAGATGGCAGCCAGGCTCTCCAGGCCAACCAGAGACTTTGTCTCAAAAAAGTTGTGGAAGGTACTTGAGGACTGACTCCTGAGGTTACTTGTACTCTGACCTCTTTGTGCACACATAGGTACATGTGTGCACCACCCCACACAAATACTTGTGCACAGACACACACACATACACAAGCTCCCAGGCCCAGCTTCTGTTCTTGCCACTTGGCTCTCCTCATTCTGAAGATTCTTCATCTTGTCTTGGGTTCTGACTAGAACACTCCGGAATCCTCTGAAAACTTCAGGTTTGGAACCCTCGGTCTTGGGGTGGCCTGTCTTGCTCTCCCTCACACATACTGTGTTTTTTATGATCATACATCAATTTACCTGTTCATGTCTTGTTTTCTTCATGTCAGAAACGCTGCCCACCTGGACCCAGGTGAAGCCGTATAGGGCATGCGACTCAAGCCCCCTGCTGGCGGCAGCAGGCCCAGGCCCCTTCTCAGCTAGAGTCGGTTTTTAAATTGGCTACATGGTATAAGCTGTTTCACGTCTTAGCAGTTTCAGGACCCGGTTTGCACTTTGTAATCCTTTCGCTATGACTCAGTGAGCTTGCCAAACCCCTGCACTGTGGATGTTTTGGCAACTGTCTGTGAACTCAGTAGGATATGATTACCAAAGCTTCAGACACCCCTCAGCAGTGGGATTGAGAGGGGTCCAGACATCAGTCATCCTGCAGCAGCTTGGGAAAGGCCACAGATGGCCTGCATCTCCTTAGGACTAAAGACAGCAAAGCTGGCTGTGGGGGGTGACCACATGGTTCTGGGGGAAAGACGAGTGATTTGATTTTGCAGTGCAGAGCGGGGGGGGGGGGGGACACCTACATTCTTTGTATAATGTGCAAATTCATTTGGATAATCACTCAATTCCCCCTTTCAAGGCTGCATTGTGAGCGAAATAATAAAAACAAGCCAGGGCCACTAGATTCAATGCTGACAGATGTTTTTAGTGAGATCCCTCACAGTGGCCCCGCTCCCCATCCCCATCCCCTGCCCTGGGTTTTATTAGTAAGCCCTGGGGCTAGCCTGAGCAACTGGGCCATCTGAGATAAGGAGGCAGTGCTGACTCTGGCAAAAGTAAGGCTTCAGTCATCCTGAACTAATGGTCAAGGCTCCAGTCTGGGTCTGTGCTAATTGGGTTCCCGGCCTTCTCCAGGGCTTTGACACGCCCCTCCTCCCCCATTGTCTCCCCCTCTCCTTTATGTGTCCCTGTGTGAACCCTCCTGCTGGCAAGACTGTCATCCATGGTCTTTGAGAACTTGCCCTGGATGCAGTTCCCAGATCCCAGTCAAGACTACCATGTTATGCCATGCACACGCCACACCACACCACACCACACACACCACACCACACCACACACACCACACCACACCACATCACACCACACCACACCACACCGCACCGCACCGCACCACACTGAACCACACCACACCGCACGGCACCACAGCACAGCACAGCACAGCACACCACAGCAAACCACAGCACACCGCAACACACCACAGCACACCACACAACAGCACACACACCACACCACACCACACCACAGCACACCACACCACAGCACAGCACATCACACCACACACACCACACACACCATACCACACCACAGCACACACACCACACCACACAACAGCACACCATACCACACCACACACACCATACCACACCACAGCACACCACAGCACACCACACCACACACACCATACCACACCACAGCACACCACAGCACACCACACCACACACACCATACCACACCACAGCACACCACAGCACACCACAGCACACCACACCACACACACCACACACACCATAGCACGGCACAGCACGGCACACCACACAACAGCACACCACACCACACACCACACCACAGCACAGCACAGCACAGCACACCACACCACAGCACACACACCACGCTACACCACAGCACAGCACACCACACACACCACACCGCCATCTCTAGTCAGATACCCACCCTTGTTGCACATTGGAAGGTTCCAGATGGCATGCTTTTGCCATCGTCTTGTTTCCCTCTGCGTGGTTGATACCTGGTCACTAACTATTGGTTTAAGGTCTCTTTATTTCCAAGCACAACCGGGTGTTACACAGGCCAGAGCTAGGTTAAGAACCCAGCCAGCGCAGCCAGAACAAAGAGAGAGCCCGGTCCCCACGTGCAGTCCTTTAAGAAGCCCCTTTTACGTCATGCCGGCTTTCCTTCACCCCGCCCATAAGTCCCCAGGTCCACCTGGTACCTGCCCCAGGACTATTGGGCGGGGCTAGGGTTACTCCCTACAACTAACCCTTGGGAGCCAGATCCCAAACAGCTGGCCTCAGAGGGCAGGTGCTGTGTCCTCGGAGGCAGAGGCCTCTAAGCTGGGGATACCAGGGAAACACGGGCGTCCGGTAGGTCAAGCTAACCCTGAAGCTGTGCAAAGAGGAAGGTAAGTTTCATAAATATCCATTTAGAGAAACACCGTACAACATAAGGAGTGGCTGGCAGGCAGACATGGGTCCCTGGGATCGAGGGTTCTCATCGCATTCTCTGCTCCTTCTGGCTCTCTCTGTCAGGAGAGCCATTGCTGGCTGTCACTGTGACAGACAGCCACTTTCCTGGCCACTCCCCCATGTTGGACTGAAGTCCTAAGACCCAGTCAGTCCTCCCTTGAGCTGTTTCTGTCCACTAAGATGACCTGGGTGTGCAGCCTGGTGATGAGACACCGACGTACAGTGCACGAGGCTCTGGGCTGCTTAGAAGTGTTCTGTGATCCACCCATGTCACAGACACCTAAACGAGGAACCGAAAGCAGTGTGGGTCGGGGGCAGGGATATGACAGCGTTGATGCTGACTGGAGTTAGAGCCAGCTC